CCGACTGGCTTTCAAGCAAGGGAAACCTTTACCTTTATGTATGTATGTATGTATGTATGTATGTATGTATGTATGTATGTATGTATGTATGTATGTATGTATGTATGTATGTATGTATGTATTAAAAAGACTGAATGGGGTACAAGGTGCCAGCACCAATGGTGCTATTTTGCAAAAATCCCCCCCATTAGAGGAGGTACATTTGTTCTGCACAGACCCCGATGTATGTATTTAAAAGACTGAACAGGGTACAAGGTGCCAACACCAATGGTGCTATTTTGCAAAAATTCCCCCCATTAAAGGAGGTACATTTGTTCTGCACAGACCCCGCCCCCAAGGGGGAGGGTAGCGTTACTTCTCAGAGCCTCCAGATATTGGAGGGGTGGGGAGTGTTTTGATTTTTTGCTAATAGTCTAGGAGGAGGTTCATAAACCAGCCTGTGGCAAGTTGTGTTGCCAGGATCGCTTGGAGGAGGGCAGAGTGACGTCATCAGCTGCCACAGAAGGTGGCGGTGGCTACAAGCATGGGCGGCTTCAAGAGGGAATTGGATAAACACATGGAGCAGAGGTCCCTCAGTGGCTATTAGCCACAAGGTATAGATAGGAACTCACAGTCTGGGGCAAGTGATGCTCTGTCTTCTTGGTGCTTGGGGGGGGGCAACAGTGGGAGGGCTTCTAGTGTCCTGGCCCCACTGCTGGACCTCCTGATGGCACCTGGTATTTTTGGCCACTGTGTGACAGAGTGCTGGACTGGATGGGCCACGGGCCTGATCCAACACTGGCTTCTCTTTTATGTTCTTAAGCTGTTTTGGTTCCCCGAGAAGGAGAAACGCCGGATATAAATAAATAAAATAAGCAAGCAACCAGCTTCAACGCACTTACTTGGAAGTAAGCCCTATTGAATTCAGTGTGAGTTACTTGTGAGTAGACATGCAGTGGATGCACCTACACATTTTGCAAGGAAGTTGCAAAGTAGGCAAGTCTCGGGGTGTGTGTGTCCTGCTGCTGCGCCGCTCTGCTCTATTAACCAAATATCCCAAGAATATGTTAATCCTCACTAGGTTTTTCTTCCCTCCCCTCTCCCTTTCCAGGCTGGAAGGAACTGTTAAAATGGCAACTGTTTCCTGCATTAACTGGGCAATGGTTGCCAGGATTCCACTAGTCACACGTGATTGGCCAACATGCTCAGATGTCACGGAATCCTCATTCCTAATGCAGCCCAGTTCCCCGCCCCACCAGGTCGCTTTCAACGGCTTGGAAGCCCAGGGTGCTAATCTATAGAACTGTACTGATTAGCTCCCCACCCCCCCAAAAAAACACCCCTCTGTGTGTCATATTTAGCACTCCCCTCTAGGGCCCCCCTTAGGTTGGTAGCAGGCCAACCGGATAGAATCAAGGTACATTATCTCCTTGCTTCACGAGATCCAGAGATCATTGAACTGACCGCTAAGTTTCTTCATGGTTTTATAAAACGGAAGAATGACCCTGATCATATTAATGAGTCTTAATTTATAAATTTAAAAACTCAGTTTTAAAGTTTAGAATTCAAATTTACTTTATGACTCGGGCCTTTTTGTATGGCCAAATCTATCTTGTGACAATTGGAGTTACGTTATAGGCCTGATATATCCTTGGAATGGTTTACC